TTTTTTTTTGAGTGCTTGAAAGAACACGTATATTAATCTTTTTTTTCCGGCATCATATTTTTTTTGTTATATAAAAGAGAGAAGAAAAAAATGAGTTACAAGAAAAATAGTTGTCGACACGCACAACACATTCTTTCAAATGCATGGTTACACTACTACTAATAATAATATAATCATTAGAAAGATAAGGCAAAGAAAAAAAAGACAATCTTCTATTTTTTGTTTGTCAGGTAAAAAAGAAAAAGAAAGAAAAAAGGACATTCGACTGTATCTTAAGTTTTATGTAAATTTACGAGATAGAAATGTTTACCATAGAAATAATATAATATATTTTTGGCTGATAAAAAAATTCTACATATTCGCTTTTAAAGTATAAAGATTAATCGATAGAAAATCTTGTTAATTTACATATAAATCTAAGCAAACATAGTACTGAGACTGTCATAAGTAAATAATAAGGACAAATTTTTCATATTTCAAGTAGACTTTTATATCATATAAACATACGTCATACACAAAGGTCTTGATAACATTTGAATTTATGTTATTTATAAACGTATGGTATGATGTTTTTAGATAAAAATCTTCGTATATATATTAATGTAAAAGATCCTCGTCACCGAATAAACGAGAAAATGCTTTTGAATAATGATAATACATTTTGCTTCATCTTTTCGTATTTATTTATTTCAGATCATCCGAACATCAGTCCAATCCAGGTATGGCTCCAAATGGTGAGACAGAACGTTATATTGAAACATCAATAAACCCAAAACTTTTAAGTGATGATCAATTACATTTATTTATTAATGGCCAATGGTATGATCTTACACAATGGCAAAATTTACATCCAGGTGGTAAAGAAATTCTTCAAAATTTAAATGGAAAAGATGCAACAGATGCATTCTATGCTATTCATAGTGATGATGCTATTAAACGATTATCTCGTTTAAAACCATGTTCATCTCTTCATATTCAAACAATGTTACCATCCACTATAGAACCAACAAAATTAACACTTTCATTTCGACATTTACGAGAAAATTTAATTTCAAATGGTTATTTTAATCGATCATTGTTTTGGGAATTATTTTATCATTTATCAGTTTATTTCTTATGTTTACTTGGTACATTCTGTCATTTTTATTGGAATCATACACTTCTACCTATATTAATTATTGGTTTTGGTATGCAACAAGCTGGATGGATTGGACATGATTATGCACATGGAAGAGGCAACTGGATGAGATGGCTTTGTAAATCATTAACTGGTTTTGTTAATGCTTTTAGTCCAACTTGGTGGTCACATAAACATAATACACATCATGTTTATACAAATAATATTGGAATTGATACTGATGTATCTAATGATCCTGTATTTCATTTATTTTTTCCATCAAAAGATAAAGATGTTTGGTTTCGATCCTATCAACATTGGTATTATATTCCAGTTTATTCATTTTTATATATAAGTTGGCGATGGCAATCACTTCAACATGCATATAATACATCAAAATATTTTGAACTTATGGTTATGTTACCAAATTATATTTGGCTTTATATGCTTGGTTGGCAAGTTGCTCTTGGTTCAATACTTTTTGGTGGTTTACTTGTTGCTGGAATTGTTACAGCGACACATCAAAGTGAAGAAATGTTATATGATTCAAATCATTCATTTGTTGAAACACAATTTTTAACAACATGTGATGCTCGTTGTGATAATTTTTTTATGGAATGGTTATGGGGTGGTATGCAATACCAACTTGAACATCATTTATTTCCAACAATGCCAAAATATAATTATGCACGTGTTAGACCTATTCTTAAACAATGGGCTCAACAAAATAATATTGAATATCGAATAGAAAGTGTTTGGTCAATTTGGCATCGAAATTATCTTACACTGAAATATTATGCAAATCAAGCAATTAACACTCAAGATGCAGCATAGAACATTAAATATCTATATATATTTCTGGTATTTTTATTATTAATGAATTGTGATCATTTCTTATTTTATATATCACTAGAGCATTTTTATTATTTATTGTAATAATAATAAACTATAAATTGTGTTTCTTCTTGAATGACATCAAAACAATAATTTTAATTGAATTAAATAGTCATTACATTTCTTGTTTTGTGCTTGTAGAAAATTATGAAATAAGACTCTTGTTAAAGATACCACTGATCTTATTAATGTATATCAATATTGATATTTAAATGAATTTTCTTTAGATTTAGTTGGTACACTCATAAACAACATAGTTCGAGACATTCAAACAAATAGATGTTAGTTGTAAACGAACTTTTTACATAGGACAAGACAAGCAATAAGACTCTATATCGAGAAGTTTTAAACTACGGTGTACCTATCCTGATAAGATTAGTTTAGTTTTTCAAATGTATTCTATACTAATACAGTTGGCAAGAATCCACTGTACTTAAGCCAGATGACGCTTGAAATTCCACCCAGTGGTGAATGTCTCGTTGTAAATAAATAATATATATATTCGAACATTCTATACTCATATCTTTTTATGGCGACATGAATGTATTGTTTGTTTGATCTAACTGAACAAGCATAAAATAAAAATTTTCTCCATTAAAATCATTCTATGTATATGTTGAGGTCAAAATTGGAATTGAGTCAAATTCAGAATTTGACCAGACAAAATTAGAATTCACATAAAGATAAACAAATAAAGCGACATGTTTTTCTATACGAGTAAAATAAAAAAAAAAGGGAATATGTTCTGCGGTTAGTAAAATAATTGAAATACCAGTAAATATATTAATTGGTCAGTTTTCAAAAAAATCAGTAAACAATTCAAAAGTGGTCAGTAGATTTTGTGGAAGTAGCAGTGAAAAAATATGATTTTTGTCAGAAAAAAAAAGAAAAGTAGTACATCTTTGTACAAGTTATATTGTTTTACTTTCCATTTCATTTTATTTACGGATCGTTTAAATTTTATTATAGACCTATCAAAATGAATTATTGACCATTTCAATAATTCACTGATCAATCATTACTTTACTGACCATTCAATAATTCTACTAATTTATGAGTTTTTTGTTTTACTGACCGTTTCATTTATTCGACTGACCACTTAAATGACACCCAAAAAAAAAGAAATTAATCGCGATGTCATATTGGTAAATGGTATAAATATAGATGTACATATTAGAATGCAAGTATTTTACTCAACAAAATGTCATTCGAAACGCGCTGGGTGCCAAATTATGGGTGAATAAAACTAAAGTACTTCGATTTGTGAAATACTTTTCAAGATTTTAAAAAACTTTGTTAAATAAAAATGGTTCGTATATTTAGATATTTTAAATTTCAATCGAATTTGTTTATCTTCGTCTGAATTCTAATTCTGTTCAAAAAAAAATACTACTCTATATTGGTATCCTAATTTTATCTGGTCAAATTCTAAATTTGACCCTAACATATATGTTAGTTATTCAAGCGTTTTAATTTGTATAAATTATAAGATAAAATAGAGATAATCGAGTACATGATAGAAGTTTTTTTCTGATTAACTACTCTAATGAAAAACGAATTAATTATGTCATAGATCCAACTCATACATAATAGCTATTAATCAATGCCAATGATCAACATATCATATACCTCTGACAAAGGTCAACTTCTTGCTTAATCATATGTAATGATGTATCCAACTGCTATTTCTTTATCTTTCGACAACCAGTGTATAAAGCCATTGATGTTTATCAGTAAAAAGAACATCAAAATGATTTTGACTCTTCTAATTATAGAATGATAAATAAGATTTTTACAAGATGAATTATTTAGATCTTCATTGAAATTCATAGTAGTTAAAATCAATAAAATTTTCATTGTATTTAACATATTAGTGTAAAGTATTACTGATTGAATAAATTCTTATATATTTTCATCAATAAATAAAAACAAAAAAAGTCATTGACAATCTTGTTTATATATATATATATAAATATACAATAATGTAAGAAGAAACACACACACATTAAACACCGAGACATTTGCAAAAAAAAAAAGAAAAGAATTTTTTGTTTTATACACATCACTGTGATTTGATAAGAGTTTTATATATATCTAAATGTTAATATTGCACATCAATAATTTCATCATCTTCATGTGATGATATTTCATCACTACTTGTACTACTAGTTCCCATCGTTGTTTCTATAAGTTCTAATGGTGGATGATCTATTGTTGTTGATAATGGTATTTCATGTGTTTTTGAATGTTTTGATAAATGATCAGAACGCATAAAACGTTTTCCACATTTTGAACAAACAAAACGTTTTTCACCAGTATGTGTACGTAAATGACGTTGTAATTCATCTGAACGTGTAAATGCTTT